TTTTTTTGTTTCTACTTCAGGCTCCCCTTGGGACAGAAGGAAGGCCGAGCAGGGTGACCCGCAAGTGGCCATCTGGGCCACATTCCTTCAACTCAATGTGTTCCACAAAGCCAAAATTAAGCATTCAGTCTAATTTAGGTGAAGTAAGGCGTTCCAGAAATCATGTAATTACACCTTCTTCGTTTTTCTTATAAGCCAGATCAACATGCCGAAGCCTGGTTTACCTTTCATCTCAAGGCTCAGTCCGTTCGGGAATTGAACCACAGACCTGGACTGGCACAACACTCCCCCTTGAGATGAGATGCGCTTTTGACCTACAAACAGCCAGCCTCATCTCAACTGCCCGTGACAGGTCGTTACAATATTTCACTTAACACCAAACCATTCCAACCCTCCTTCTACTGAAACTCAAACCCAAGCAGCTCAGCCAGCTGTTTACTGCTATTGCCACGTGGTATGCGGCTGTTAGGTTAACAGAGTAGGCTGTTACATTTATGCAGCTCAGATCTGGTGTAGCAAAAAGAAACACACACACAAAACATTTGAACATGAAAAATAGCTGAACACTATCATTAATACTAAGAGAAATACAATGAACACCATCTCTTTACACCTTTGAATCTACACAACATCCATCTAGGTTTGTAAGTACTACTCTATTAAGGTTGGCGTCATCCGCCTACAAGATATACTCAAACTTAACTACTCACTTAATTGATTAACTTTAATTAGAATTATACTAACACATAAGGATATATGTGAATACAATTGAATCACTGGCACAGTGGCAGTAAAATCCATGACCGCAACAAGGCATTCAACACAAGGAAACTGATCTGTCCCAAACAAACGAAAAAAACCTTTCTAGTTCTATAGCAGGTATGCTAACATTCGAGCCTATGCAAAACATGGCATCGGTTTGTGGTCTCTCCTTCAACCCTTGCCTTCCGCTATCTAGTCCTTTATAGCGTCTCCTTCGTCCTTCAAATACGGTTTCAGCGCTAGCTTATTGAACACACCGCGCCTTCTTCCATCTAAACTGGACAGTTCGTATGCCGCAGGCGGGATGACATTAGTATTCTCCCATGGCCCATCATATACCCTGTGGAACTTGCTCGTCTCACCAGCCGCTGCATCCGACACCGGCTGGCACTTCGCTAACACTAAGTCGTTAATCTGCGGGTTCCAATCAGTCTTTCCAAATTTACGTCTTTTGTTTCTTTTTGCAGCCTTCTGTTTCATTTTTACGTAGGCTTTCAGGACCTTGTCATGAAGACTTTCAATAGGCGGTACCCCGTCTGTTGACTTTGCAAGGAAGAGAGGAGCTATACCTCCACTCACCCCAAACGCCTACATGGCGCATAGTGGGACAAACTTTACTTTACTTTCTGGAGGGCTGGAAATAGGTCAAATGCTTTCACGAATCAGTGTTCAGCCCACATAATTGTTGTAATCCAAAGGAGAGTTGACACTAACCTCATCATTAATAAACTGCTGAAGGTCAGCGTCCAGTAATTGTTCGTCAAATGGCAGTTGATATTCGCTGCTTATGTTTTGTCCCTGAAATTCAGAAAGTGGTGGATTAGTGGACTGCAACCAACAAGAGCTCGCAAACTGAGTTCCATTATCGCTCAGGATGTTCTTCGGTCTTATGACGTTCACCACATAACACTTCGTAATCTTATTCAGGCAGGTCTTCGTAGTTGCGGCCCGCAACGGATATAATTTCACAAATCTCGATTTTGATGTAAACCCAACAGAAATGGCTAACAGGAATAAAAGTTTGATTATAGGAGATTTCTGTGCTCAAGTAGGGAATGACGCAATAATCGTAGGTCAAGAAAAATGGTGACGTGTGCATAATTAATGTCCTTATAAATATAAACTATTTGTAACATATCTTTGCTGTCCACAGCCAGTTTATTTTTAAAGAAACAGAAAGGCGGATAAATTAATGTTTAAAACTTAGAGCAGAGTTTCAGGGATTTAAATAGTGGTATCTCCTAATTAAAATCCACTGCAATGCGCTCTTACAAACAGGGGCAGACATGCTTCTCAACAAACAGCGTCAATCGGGAGTTTACTCTGGTCATCTTTCGCCTCTGACATTCCACGCTTGTTTGTTTTCCATGTGCAAGCGACAGATGGCAGGCGAGTGAGTTCGTCCAAATAGTAATAACGACGACTTACCTCTGACGAAGCGACGC